CCATTAACTCCAGTACCTGCTGCACAGTATGTGTGATTGGATTTGAATTAAAATCTTAACACTAAAAAATATAAATTACTTTTTTGTGTTTCAATGCATTTGACAGAAAATTTCAATTTTGTTAAAATGTTTTCTGAATTTTTAGACATAAAAAATGCCTATCAATTGAATAAAAATATATTTTTTATTACACTCTTTCTCTCACGAGTCAGTTGTTTATTTCACATTCATTTCATACGATTTTATTGGCCACGACTTTCCGCCAGTTCCCCCATACAAATGAACGGCAAATATACTGCAACACAAAGTTTTGACACAAATATCTTTATTTCACAGAAAATATATAGTTTTTTAAAAACATATTTCGATGTTATTTATGACTTTATTTTTAGTCCTAAGTGTATTGAAAAATATTTATAATGTTTCTCTGCAATGATTCAAATAAAATATAATACCTTGATAAATTACAATACAAGTTTAATACAATGTTTTATAATATGTAATATGCTAAACTTATTAATTTAAATATTCTTATACAATAATTGACATATTACATGTTAATTGACATATCACATGTTTTTAAATGTATTTTTATTTAGCATAACAAATGAACAGTCGATTTAAATGTCCGTACAATCGGTTAGCCTTTGAATTAACCGCCGATGCGATAAAAATATTTGCCAAAAATATAGCACCTAGTACCGTTATGCAGTACCCTAATATGAACCGTAATATAAGCAGCATTTTGAGGTAGGCGCACATAAATACCCCGATAACTATTACCGACCCAAACACCAACCAAATAGCAAGCAGATATTTTGACCAATAACTTACATTATAATCATTGCACTCCAAATAAACCGCATTTAACTCGTATATCACATTATGCACGGATACCATAGGGTTAACCTTAAACCTTTTATTTCTCAACAAAACTCCCATAAGTTTAGCATTGCTAATATAATCGCAATGCTGCATTACCCTATTACTTATTGCCATAAATTTAATTCGTAAATAGTAACATGTTAGAAAGAAATAAAACAATTGCCACATGGTGATACAATAAGCATGGTAGGCAAACATGGATATTAGTGCCGTACTGGGTAGTCCATAAAGTAATGCCTGTCCCATAGGTAGCGAGTTTAACATGGTTACAATTGATACCAATCCCATAAAAGGGGCTGTTGATTTGCATATGAAATTATTAAATTTAATTAAAAATCTCGCGATTCGTAACATTTTATACACAGGTTTTGGGTCCGATAGCCCCAGGCTTAAGGGGGTCCGGAGGCCGGACATCATCTCAAACACCCTGAAAAATGTCGGTTCCCTACCTTTCCAGTGGTTGTAGTAATAGATTAATACATTGCTAATGACATACACGAAATACACGATGACACCGCCTTTAAAATATACGCTAAATGGTGTAAAATATGAAAAGTCACCCAGTATCATTACCAAGTGTATATCTTTTCCGCCATTTATAAGCAGGATAATATTAATAAAGCAAAATGACCATAGTATGAATGCCATAAATATGGGATTAGACCACCGATTCCTACGACTGGGTACAGTAGCGTTGTATGGCGTGAGGCATAAGCCAATACGGTATAATTGATTCTCTATGGAGTTTAATCGCAATGACTCAGGTAGTAATTCGGAGCAATTTATTTTGTCCATGGTTAGTTGGTAAATATTTTGAGTTTTAATTATACAAGATATATTCTTTAAAATAAAATAGCTTTATTCTGGTATGCTTTATATGTTTTAAAATAATTACTATCATACACTAGTGTGAATAAACAAATTAAATTAGTTATAATACAATATCATATTGTTTTATGTATATTTTTATTACATTTGTTTCACAATATGCAATTAATTTTGTAACTATAAATACCAGTTATACTACAATACCAGGTTTTATATCAATTTAATGAACACCAATAATGATTACTATCATTTATAATAAAAATATACTATTATATTATAATAAGTTTTATTTAAAAGTATAATAACTTTATCAAAAATAATTATGTTGTTGAAATATTTTAATAATTACAAAATTAATTGCATATTGTGAAACAAAACTGGTATTGAAGTACAAGCAAAGGACATTTACACATTTTTAATGTATGCTCGGTATAATTGACATTGCATGTATCACGTAAACTTAAATTATAGTACCAGTATATATGTACTTAGTACAGTATTTACATTTACAAGCAAACTAATTACTTTGTATTTCCATTATTAATAATTTTGTAAAATATTTTATTTATATAAAGACAAATATTTATTATTTGCAATGAATTTATAAAAATATTAATTATTAAAAAACAAATATTTGGTATTTGCAATAAATTCATAAAAATATTTATTATTTAAAAAATGATTATGCAGCAACAAAAATATAACTATTATTTTTGTTTTAAAAATTAATCAAAGTTTCAAAACAAATGTCGAAAACATTTGTAAAAATTTCAAGACTCAATTATATAATATATACACTTTTGCTGTTGAAATACATTACCTCCAGAATATAATTACTTAACATTTACACACCATTTCCATTACACATGACTTATAATTTGCATACACCTAAAAAGCTAACATTCCCATTAACTCCAGTACCTGCTGCACAGTATGTGTGATTGGATTTGAATTAAAATCTTAACACTAAAAAATATAAATTACTTTTTTGTGTTTCAATGCATTTGTTAATAGAAATTGTCTCAAAAATCAACTGAAAAGGTGTTTATTATACGGAATATAGACTTGCATTATAAGGTATTGTATAGTATTTTTATAGCAATCTCTCTCTCTCTCTCTCTCTCTCTCTCTCTCTCTCTCGATGTCGGTGTTTGACATCAATCTATTGATAATACTCTCAAAAATATTGCCGAAAAATACACAAAAATAATGACTTTTCTGTGAAAAATATATCTAAAAACATATTTTTGACTTCAATTTCAAGACATGAAGTGCGAGCAAACACTACAAAATAGGTTTATCATCCTTTGGGTATAAAATCACATCAAATACTGAGAGAGAGAGAGAGAGAGAGAGAGAGAGAGAGAGAGATGTATTAAAAATGCATTATATTGTATGTTATATAAATATAAAAACTTTATTATAAACACATCACTTTATGCCATATACCTTTATTCAATATTTATTCAAACATAATATCATATCATATAAAAATATATTCTAAATAATAATAAACCGCATTTCAATTGTAAGCCAAAGGCATTCCCTAAATACCTACTGTTCCTATAAAACTTAACGACTGTCCACTTATATGTTGATATAACGGATATTAGTAAAAAAATATGTCTAAAGTGTCAAATAATAAAACACTGTTAATGTATGACATAAATACAATGTACATAATTTTATTTAAAATGTTTTATAGATAATATTCTGTATCATAATACTAGAATATATACAATTATTTTATGTGCTAGCTAAATAAAATAAAATAGCTAAAATAAATACATAATTATAAAAAATGTGTAAATTATATTATTATGATTAATTTATTTTTATTGTTAGTTTTGCCTAGTTATTTAAAATTATAAAAAGTATAATCTAGGGCATTTAATTAAAATGCAATATACAATTTGTAAATTATTTAATTATCAAACAAACGTTGGAATGTATATATTTTTACCATGGCCATAATACAATTTGATCAGGATAAATTACCATTCACTATTACCTACATTATCAAACACAAATAAAAAGTGACACTATTTTTATTTTGCACAAAACGTGTCGGTGCGAGAAAGGAAAGCCTAAAAATAAACCGTCACTTTCGTCGTTGTATTTGTCAACACAATTGAGTCTAACAGTGATTTACGACAGCTTTGCATCGGGTTTGATGTGAGCACAAACTACAGTTTAATCCCGTTATAATAAACATTCAACATTAAACCCATGCTAAATAAGTGTCTTAAAAATATGGTAAAAAAATTATAATAAAAATTCTTGTAATTTATTATATATTATTATAATATATAAAATTATTTATTACGATAAAATTATTACAGAATATTCTGTTTTGTATACACATGTAGTGTATATAATAAAAATGCATTTTTTGTGTCCACACACAAACTTGTGTTAAACAAAAAATACAAACTTTTTTGTTTTTGTCTAAAAGCTATTTATTATACTTTGCTCGTAATATAACTGTTATTATATTGTGTATTGTTTTATAACTTATTATATGAGAAATTTCTTGTCGTTTTCATACTTTCCTTATACATGACTACCGCTAAGGTTTGTCATAAGTTATGCCACAAATCATTGCCTACTATACTGTATATTTTTATAGAATATTCTATATATATCCCCTTCCCCTCAAACTCCCTGCCCTTATAACTCATTTGCTATTATATACGAAAAGAAAATGTATTTTTATTATTATTTCTAATAGCGTTTGTTTACAATAGTAATACATTTTTTGTATAATAATAGTCTCAAGAATTGAGATAAACATACAGAATATTCTTGAGGGTGTCGTACACTATATATAAGTGATATTACATGATATTATAGCTAACGATTCACTACTTAATGGTTTGACTTAAGTGTGAACACAAGTGACAGATAAATACATAACAAATATATCAGGTTTTATGAGTAGTGTTGAGATAAATTTACTTGATAACTTACATTGTATTAATATTGTTACAAATTTTGTGTATCATACAAATTATCATTAGCCTATAATTTTATTTTACACAATAATAATCTATAAAAACAATTTGTAAAAAATATAATAACATTTTAGGAATTTTGCAAATTATAATGTGAAAATAAATTAATATTTTATTGATTATGTTCAAGAATTTTAAGTATTTTCTTGTTTACTATTTGTTGGAATATATATTTATGGACTTTATTAACAAATAATTTTTTCAAATATTTTTATGTCATTATAAAGTGTGGAATTTTATTTGTGAACTCTCTCTCTCTCTCTCTCTCTCTCTCTCTCTCTCTCTCTCTCAATATAATAACAAATAATAGTTTGTTATTTAACGCAAATGTAAGCGTTTGTGTCAATACAGGTCTGATATGGTTGTAAAACTTTTGTGACAATCATTTTGTTGGCAAACAAACGGCTTTTCGCCCGAATGTATGCGAGTGTGTTGAATTAAATTTGACTTTGTTTGAAAACTTTTGCCATAATTTTCTTCATTACATTTGAATTTTCTTTCATTCAAATGAACAGCACTTTTGTGTTGTTTTAATGATGGTTTTGCTGTAAACTGTTTGCGACATTCACTCGAATCGCATACATATCTCACGTTTAAATGAACGCTATTTTTGTGGGCTATTAAATGTGCCAAACATTTGAACGATTTATGACAATCACTGTAATTACAATTGAATGGCTTATAGTTTGTATCAGTATGTAGCATCTTGGCCACTATTGACCATATTACAACATTTGTAATCTCATTTTATTGTTAAGACCTTTTAGATTTTTAATAAAAATGTCAAATTATTCATTGGATTTTTGCCATCACATATATATTTTATAATTAAAAATATTTTTACAAAATGTGACACAAAATCATTCATTAAATGCTATGATTATTGTGAACTGTTTTTTATGTCAAATGACCCAGGTACTTACAATCAATTACAGGTGCTCTACTCTGGTTTGTATGCATCCTATAATGAGTATTCATATTTGATATTTTCAAACATTTATGGTTACATTTAGGCCAAAAACATTGATAATATTTGCTGCCATTAAATGCATCCCGATTTTGGTTGATTATTAAATTCTTAGCGCTGACCATGCACATAATTGTAGAATTATTAATGTAAGTAGCCAATGACATAAGTAGCCATGCACATTAGCCAATGACATAATTTGAGACAGGTTTAAAAAACACTCACTTTTATTACACAAACTTTTATTCAATCCAAGACATTGTGATAATAAATTCAATGTTGTATTCATATTATTTAGCATTAACTTTAATGGTGCCATTGTTTAATAAAATATTTTCAGCACATTAATGAAAAAAAAATTAAATTTTCTGTTAATACAATAAGTGTAGTCAATATATACTGTAGAAATGAAATGCTATTATTTGGTATTTAACCTGGAACTTTGTCAAATGTTTTAAAATAATAATCTTATCAAATCTGAAAACAAAATATTTAGTTAATCCAGGTGGTAAAAGGTCAGTCACAAAAACAGCACCTGTTTGTTCAAGTAAATATAGAAATCCAATATTTCAATAAATAAAAGAATTTTATTTTTAAAAAAATAAGTTATAAATTTTAAAAACATTTAATGATAATATTGTTTTGATAAATTATAATACAAAAGTTGTCTGAACAAATACATAAATGTTATAACGTTAATGTTATAACATTTCTGAAGTAAAAAACAATGATAATAAACATGATTATGAGAATATTAAAAAAGGTATCTGCAAACTATTTGTCAATCAAATTTATTTGAAAATTTATATCAAATTTACAATAATATTTAAAAATAAATATTATAAACAAAAAAGTGTATATTCAATACAAATGTAGGCGCTTATGTCGATATAGATTAGACTTGCTTGCAAAACCTTTGTTGCATTCATTGAATTGACAAATAAATGGCTTTTCGCCCGAATGTATGAATTTATGTTTAATTAAATCTGATTTTAAGGTAAAATATTTGCCACAATTTTCTTCATTACATTTGAATTTCCTTTCATTTAGATGAACACTATTTTTGTGTTCATTTAAATGCTGTTTTGTTATAAACTGTTTGCGACATTCACTCCAATCGCATACAAATCTCACTTTTAAATGAACACTATTTTTGTGGGCTATTAAATGTGCCAAACATTTGAACGATTTATGACAATCACTGTAATTACATTTGTATGGCTTATAGTCTGTATGCACTTTATAATGACGATTCATATGTGTAACTTTAACGGATTTATAGCTACATTTAGGCCAAAAACATCGATAATATTTGCTGCCATTAAATGCACGCCGATTTTGGTTGATTATTACATTGTTAACGCTGACCATGCACATAATTGTATGATTATTAGTGTTAGTATTATAAACATTAGCCAAAGATATAATTTGCGACAGGTTTAAAATACATTCACTTTTATTACGCAAACTTTTTTTCAATTCATGACATTTTGATAATAAATTCAATTTTGTATTCATATTATTAAGCAGTAATGATATCATTGTTTTACAAAATATTTTCTACACATTAAAACAAAAATACTAATAATTTAATAAATGATTTCATTAAATATACTTTAAAAAAACTGGTATTGTTTGGTACTTTACATACAATTGTAAAATGCTTTAAAATTATAATCATTTTAAATCTCAAAGCAAAATAGTGGCAGTTAATCCAGGTGGTAAAAGGTCAATCACAAAAACAACACCTGCTTTTCTCAAATAAATATAAAAATCTATTATTTCTATAAATAACGTATTTTATTTAAAAAATTGTAGCCTCCAGCACACAAAATAGCATTTTAAAAATTATGTTACTATTGCATTTGATAAATTATAATTTAAAAATTGACTGGGAAAAATATATATAAGTTATAAAGTTTGTTTATTATTGAAATAAAAACAAACATGTCGCAATTGTGATAAAATTGAAAACAATTGCAAACTATTAATAAATCAAACTTTTTGAGTATTTAAATAAAGTTTACGATATTTTTATGAAATGAATAATAGCTTCATATTTAATGCAAATGTATGCGTTTGTGTCGATATAGATTTGATATGAATGCAAAGCATTTACGACAATCATTGCGATGGCAAACAAACGGCTTTTCGCCCGAATGTATCACTTTGTGTCGAATTAGGTTTGATTTTGTTGCAAAACTTTTGCCACAATTGTCTTCATTGCATTTAAATCGCTTTTCATTCAAATGAACGACACTTTTGTGTTCAAGTAATAAGTGTTTTGTTGTCAACTGTTTGCGACATTCACTCCAATCGCATACATATCTCTCGCGTAAATGAACGCTATTTTTGTGTTGATTTAAATGTGAACGACATTTGAACAATTTATGACAATCACTGTAATTACATTTATATGGCTTATAGTTTGTATGCATTTTATAATGACTATTCATAATTGTCATATTCACGCATTTATGGTTACATTTAGGCCAAAAACATCGATAATATTTGCCACCATTAGATGCATCACGATTTGCGCCAATTTTGATATTTTTTGCGCTGACCATGCACATACTAACATTAGTAATTGTATTATTATTATTATTATTATTATTATCAGGCAATGATATAGTTTGAGATACGTCTAAAACACATACACTTTTATTACACAAACTTTTATTCAATTCATAACACTTTGCAAATAAATTCAATTTTGCATTCATTTTATTTAACATTAACTTTAATGGTGTCATTGATAACAAAGTATTTTCAGCACATTAATGAAAAAATATTTAATTTTCTAATAATCAATTTAATGAAACTCAAACTGTATAGAAATGAAATGGTATTTTTGATATTTCACCTAGACCTTTATCAAATGCTTTAAAATAATATTTTTATCAATCTCAAAACCAAATACTGGTAGTTAATCCAGGTGGTAAAAGGTCAATCACCAAAACAACACCTGTTTATTTAAATAAACATATAAATCCAATTATTTATATAAATCAAAGATTTTTATTTTTTAAAAATAAGTTATAAACTTTTTAAAATGCATTTAATGTTAATATTGTTTTTGACAAATTATAATACAAAAATTGTCTGGACAAATACATATAAGTTATAATAACATTTGTTTATTAGTAAAATAATAACAAACATGATCGCAATTGTGGTAATATTGAAAACTATTAATAAATCAATTTTTTAGAATTTAAACAAAGTTTACGATAACTTTATTAAATGATTAATAGTTTCTTAAATGTATGCGTTTGTGTCGATATAGATCTGATATGTTTGCAAAACTTTTGTGACAATCATTTTGTTGGCAAACAAACGGCTTTTCGCCCGAATGTATGCGATTGTGTCGAATGAGCCCCACTTTTGTTGCGAAACTTTTGCCACAATTTTCTTCATTACATTTGAATTTCCTTTCATTCAAATGAACACTAATTTTGTGTCGAAGTAAAGATTGTTTTGCTGTAAACTGTTTGCGACATTCACTCCAATCGCATACATATCTCACAATTAAATGAACACTATTTCTGTGGGTTATTAAATGTCCCAAACATTTGAACGATTTATGACAATCACTGTAATTACATTTGTATGGCTTATAGTTTGTATGCATTTTATAATGAGCATTCATATGCATAATTTTAACACATTTATAGCTGCATTTAGGCCAAAAACATCGATAATATTCGCTACCATTAAATGCATAGCGATTTGTGTTGATTATTAAAGTTTTAGCACTGACCATGCACATAATTGTAACATTATTAGCTTTAGTATAAACATTAGCCAATGATATAATTTGAGACAGGTCTAAAACACATTCACTTTTATTACACAAACTTTTATTTAATTCATGACATTTTGATAATACATTCAATCTTGAATTCATATTATTTAACATTAATGATATCATTATTTTACTAAATACTGTATAAATTAATACAAAAATAGTAGTATTTTAAGAAAATAAATGATTTCACTGAATATAATAAAATAATTGCTATTGTTTGCTATTTAACCTAGAACTTTATCAAATGCTTTAAAATAATATTTTTATCAAATCGCAAAACCAAATACTGGTATATTTAACTAATCCAGGTGGTAAAAGGTCAATCACCAAAACAACACCTGCTTATTTAAATAAATATAAAAATCAATTATTTCTATAAATAACGTAATTTTATTTACAAAACTTTTGCCTCCAGCACATAAGTTTATACCAATTACTGTACTTAACGTGCATTTTCTTATGTCCATCGAAAACAACTTTATGTATAAAACATTTGTTACAATTACTATATTCACACGCATACGTGGGCCTACGGGCTACAGGTGCCAAGTGGTGGCGCTTATGTAATATAAGTTGCGATTTATGTAAAAATATTTTACCACATTTACACCACCAATAGTTTGTTGAGTGTTTATAATACGTATGTCTTGTTAATAATCTCCTAATTTGAAAACATTTATGACACCCAGGGTGATCGCACTGGTATCTCCACTTTAAATGGGCGTACTGTTTGTGATGAACCAAACGCCCAAAATGTGTAAACTTTTTGCGACACTCACTGTAATCACACGTGAATTGTTTGCCACGATTCCTATGGTTTAGTAATTGATGTCTCGATAACTGGGAAAACGTTTTGCACTTAACCTCACAATTAGGCCAAAAACAGCGATAATACTTTTGACGGTCCTTATAGTCGATGTATGAATTAATTTTGATCACCCCGGTACTAATTTTGCATAGTTTCACATTACTGTACTTTTGCACGTTTTTATAGCAAGGCAAAACTGCGGATATATTTTAACGTTTATTACACAAACTTTTGTTGAGTTTCATATGTTTTAACATTAACTCAAACTTTTGCGTTAATACGCGTGACATTAATTTGAATGATAGATACATTATACTAATGAAATACTGATCCTGGTACACTTGAAATAAATGAATATATTTTCAATATTTTTAAACAATATTTTGAAATTTAATAGTTAAATAAAATGTTTTTCAAAGGCATTTACATTAAGCAAAATGTTTTGTATATTAAACTTGTCCTTCAATGTATATTTACTTTACTTTAAAACTTTACTTTATTAAAAACTTTCAGCTATTTTCACTGGAAATGCTAATAAATGCCTCATAAATAGCTTTAAATGGGCCAGGCTGTAAATCCCCTAAAGTATTTTTAAATATCAATTTTAGATACTAATGAAATCAATACTTAATTAGTTATGGTGCCAATAATTGAACTGTACATTTATCATAACATAGTAGAAAATAAACAAGATATTTTTTCAATTAACATGCATTTCACATGATTGTCAATTTAAAATTATATATTTTATAAACAGTGTATATTTATAAAAATAATAATATATCATGCACAACTTATACATTTATAAATTAGCATACAAAATAATATAAAAAAATAATAATTATCACTAATAATAGTAATATTATTTATTCTGTAAAAATGACATGGATAAGCTTAATTTAAATAATTAATAAACCAATTATTCTATGCATATTAATATTTTAAATATTTTATTAATATATCATTTAACTATTGACAGTATGTAATCAACTAAGCCGTGGTATATTCACCCTGGTGTCACCCATGACCGGACCCTCCTATGAAACCCTAGTCTCCTATTCAAACACATTTCAGGTCTAAATTAAAAATCAATTAAAAAAATATTATAATATATTTCAATTTAACATGCTACCTTATCCAGATGCCTTTTATACATCCTGGCTTTTCACAAACCTCCCATTTTCGCCCTGCTAATTACGGCATATCATTACGGCCCCGGTATCTACCGGCTATCATAGACGTCATACTGTATTACGGATGGAAAGGCATTATCTACTTATACGACACCGACGACGGTATGTATGCCTTATAATTAATAATAAAACTTAATTTTGAGATTAATTTAAATTAACATATAATTAATGCTTTTATTAAAAAATAAAATTTTTTATTCATTACTATAATAATGGAAAATATATTTTTTAATTAAAACGAATAATTAGTATTAATATATTTATATTAATAATTCACGTTTTTGTTCGCAAAATGTCAGTTTAGTATAAAAAATCAAAAGTTTTGTATTGTGTTGTAGTGAGAAAAATGTTATTATATTTATTATAACAGAAGGGTTTCTCTTATGTAATGCAAAAAAAGTTTCATTCATTGCCAGCGACTCTGTCTTAAGAGTTATTGTCGTCGAGAATATTCTGTATGTTTTAGGGCATAGTATAAGACAATAGGACATCACATGGAGTTTTAGGGCTTATCCTTCCGTTTATGCTCTCTCTCTCTCTCTCTCTCTCTCTCTCTCTC